TGATCCAGGATCTGAGAGAGAATCACGTCTGCTGTCTGCACATGATGACTGAATGCAGATAAAATAGAGAGAAAATGTATTTTAAAATGAGAAAATATCTCATAAGCACAATATATGTACAGACACACACAAACTGTAACTCACTAATGTATTTTTCTTCCTCTTTCTCTTGTCTGATGTTGAGATTCTTCCTAATTACCCAAAACAAAGTGAATTGATCAGAGTAAGACAAAATAGATCAACATTAAATGTCAGCAGCATCTGAGACAGAAACTCATTGAGTGATTGAGATTTACTGAAGCAGCTCAGAGACACTCAAACTATTTAATTAAACGATGCAAGAGATAAATAATGAAACCAAGTATCACCTCGTCTGTTGTGTCTTAATTTGCACACAGTCAGAGTGAATCCACCGATCAGCAGCAGAATCACACACACACTAATAATGATGATCACAGAGAAATCTGAGAATAAAACACACACTGAGTGTTAATTAATCTTCATGCATTATGAACATTTGATTGATCGAATTAAACTAAATTATATATTATAGGGGAAAAAAGCACATTTTAGTCTCTCTTGTGCAGACTTGCACACAGCTCTACTTCTTCTCTCTGTTGAGTCTCATGTGGGTTTCCTGATAAAGACCGTTAGTTCTTCACAACCAAACTAAACTGAGACTCTGAACCTCCAGCTCATCTCTGTGGTTTTGATGTGATATGAAAACGCCTTCATCATGAACACTAAACACTTCCTGCACTTATAAGCAATGTCACAAAATGAGATTCAAATATTTCTTAAGGAATAAAGAAATCATATGGAAACTTTTATATGGGATTACCAAGAATCACAACACAAACAAACAAACAAAAAGACAAAACTGACAAGTTAGCAAAAAATAACACGTTTGGAATAAACCTCCATAACAATTCAGAGACCCAGATGTGCAGTAGGTCAATCGTTTCATCTAGTGCTGAAGCAGCTCAGAGACACTCAAACTATTTAATTAAACGATGCAAGAGATAAATAATGAAACCAAGTATCACCTCGTCTGTTGTGTCTTAATTTGCACACAGTCAGAGTGAATCCACCGATCAGCAGCAGAATCACACACACACTAATAATGATGATCACAGAGAAATCTGAGAATAAAACACACACTGAGTGTTAATTAATCTTCATGCATTAGGAACATTTGATTGATCGAATTAAACTAAATTATATATTATAGGGGAAAAAAGCACATTTTAGTCTCTCTTGTGCAGACTTGCACACAGCTCTACTTCTTCTCTCTGTTGAGTCTCATGTGGGTTTCCTGAATAAAGACCGTTAGTTCTTCACAACCAAATTAAACTGAGACTCTGAACCTCTGTGGTTTTGATGTGAAATGAAAACACCTTCTTCATCATGCACACTAAACACTTCCTGCACTTATAAGCAATGTCACAAAATGAGATTCAAAGGTTTCTTAAGGAATAAAGAAATCATATGGAAACTTTTATATGGGATTACCAAGAATCACAAAACAAACAAACAAACAAAAAGACAAAACTGACAAGTTAGCAAAAAATAACACGTTTGGAATAAACCTCCATAAAAATTCAGAGACCCAGATGTGCAGTAGGTCAATCATTTCATCTAGTGAGGATAAATTACTATACTGATATTTAATTAGTTATGTGAGACAATAAAACACAAGTTTTAGTGCATTCAATTTAAGAGAAACAAAAATAATATATTAGACACCAAGAATGACTTTAGAACGACCCTCTCAATGTCACACTGGAAGATCTGTAAGTGTTCATATTTGAAATCGCAAATAAAACAAAGTTATCTTACTTCTATCCTTATCTTTGCCGACATTTAAATGTACTTTAGTGATGACGTGAGCTCCACACCAGTATATCCCAGAATCCTCTTCTCTCAGATCAGTGATGTTCACAGTAAAGACTCCAGTAGATGCTTCATCACTGAAAGAGAATCGATCATCTCTGATCGTCTCCAATGAAACTCCATCCTTCACACACATGGAGGCTTCATGTGCTTTGCAGAAGCTTTTCTGATCTTCATCATGATGTTTGCACTGGATTGACACGTCGTCTCCTTCATACTTAGTCAAGTTCAGCTCTGGAAATGTTTACAGACACAAGAACATCAATTCACAGCCGTAGTTTCACATATTCAGATGCAGAAACCTTCCTCACCCTCGTTCATGATGACGATCAGATGAGTGTAAAGATAATTGAGGTCTGTTTCTAATGTCACTGCACACCAGTATTTCCCAGCATCCTCTGCTGTCAGTCCAGTGATGGTCCCAGTGAAGACACGTGCAGTGACGTTATCATTCAGAGTCAATCTGCCAGTCTTGGTCTCTTTCTCTTCTCTCACAGTCTCACTGAGAGTATTTCTGTCTCTAGTGGAGCACGTCCCCTTACAGAGAGACTTTGGCTTTGATTTATAGATTGAATCATAAGGGCAGATGATCTCAGCAGATTCTCCTTCATGTCTCACTACTGGAGGCACTAAAAACAATCAAACACGGACATTTAACACAAATGATTCTGAATATACTGTGTTTACTACAGTGAAATCATCTGAATGGACTCACTGATGA